TCTAGATTTGCCTTCCAGGTCAGGAAGCTTCATATTTTGGAGGAATGAGTTTGATGGTCCCTGGTGGTGGGGAAGCACATTGATCACAGGCATCACCCTCTCTTCCTAACTAGTTTCAAGCCATGGGCATGTGGATCTTCTGGGATGTCCCATCAGGCCAGAAATCAGGAGTATGTTATAGCCAGGGACCAAGTCTTATTCACCACCTGGATATTCTTCTATATGTTATGAGCATTGCCTGTCTTCTGATTACTACTATCTACCTATCCACTCCATTATAAAGAGCTGAGCTATTCCCTTATTCATAACACTTCTATTTGTTTATTCATCCAGGACTATTCTAGTCTGCAGGACAAACTATGGAATGTGGAATTTCTCCCTCTTAATGCTTAGGTAATGCCTAGGTAAAGGAGAAATATACCAAATATACCTTCTCCTAGTATAGTATCTGTAACATATATCAGACAACCCCGCTACTTCAGCCATGCTCAAGAGCCCCATTCTGGGTATTTTAGGTGCCAGTGTTTGGGGATTTAATTGAGAGAAAATAAGAGACTGCTTGGTCTTGTAGTGCCCCTAGACTGAGGAGTAGAATATTTGACTCTCACATAGAGTAATTACATAAAACTTCTCACAAAAACCAGTTTGTATTCAGCCCCATTTTTGCCACCATGTCCACCTCCTCCTCATGCTGTGGCCAGATGTGTGCAAGTTTCAACTCTCCTTGTAGATATTGGGTAGCTCATACCCCTAGGTATTCACTATAGCAATGGTTTCTATCTCCAGCTGATCAGAATAAGTTTCAAATTGAGGTCCCAGATTCTTCCTCTATAAATTCAATTTAAGTTGGTCTGGGATGAATCCTGGGGCTCTTTAAGTGTCTTTAAGTGGGTTCCCAGGTCATTCCACATTGCCTAGTATCTGTGGCAGAGAGGAACTGTGGCTAACCCACCTTGTCTGGAAGGAACTTCTGAGAATATCTAGTGTAATCCCTCATTCTGCAAGACTAATCCCAGGGAAGGAGGCTTAGAAAAAAGGAAAGGATAGAGAATTGCAGACATATATAAGCAGGATTCCAGGGTGGGAGGCATGGTCTTTAGACCCAATCTCTCTTACATTCACTCAGACTAACTAGCCCCTCATCTCTGGAAGCTGGGCCCTGTTACTGGATGTCAAGGAGTCTGGCCGACCTCTGTCTCACTGTTTGTGACTGCCCAATGCATTGGCATTTCTGGGCAATGGTGCCAAACTGAACTGGAAACAATGCTATAGAGCATGTGCACTGCCTCAGATTAGTAGTGTGATATTAAATAAGGAGATTATTTCACAGGCCTTTGAGTACCTTTAAAGGGCTTTTATAAACAGTCTTCTTTGCTCTGAAATTCCAATCCTCAGCCCTGTAAGTTTTGTTCAAATGGTTAATAAAAAAGGAAAAGGTGGAGAACTGAGAGGTAGGTCATCCATGAAAGAGTGGAGGGTAAGGAGTGGAAGGGATGACTGGAAAGGTCATCCAAAGCCAAGATTGAAGGGCCATAGGTATATCTTAAACCACACTCCTGAGGTTGCAGTCCCCATTGCCACATACATCTTGGAAACCCCAAGCTTTAAAATAGACAGACATATAACAGCAGACCCATAGACACATGCAATGTAATACAAGCCCACAAAAGAATATGAAGACACACATACTCACAAACAGCCCTTTCCTCATAGCTGCCATAGAGAGGCTGCTAAGTTTTCACAGGTGGCCTAACTGGAAGCTCAAGCCTGGGCATCATATCAGAGGAGGTGGAGGACCCAATTTCAGACTGGTGCCCCAGGAGAGAGGAGTGTTGGGCTGTCAGCTCCTCTGGATACAGAGATGTCACTGGGGTTGGTTCATGCACCGTCCTGGTCTGTGAGGGAGCCTCAGGCCCAGCCTGACTCACCCAAAGACCTCCCTATTCTACCATCATCTAATCTCTTTCCATATCCAGGCTAGGTATCCTGGGGCCCAGAGTCTATCCTCAGAGAACAGTGCATGTAATGGATCATTGCAACAAAGAGCCTCTGTGTTGACCTATACCTTGAGCCTAAGGAGGATGGGGTTTCCTAGGAAAGAATGCCCTTGTCTCCCAGCCAGGTCTGTGTTTCTTCTGTATCTTGAGGGAATGGACTTCTCCCCACTTATCCTCCAGACAAGAAGGTCCTTGTTTAGGGTGTGCTTGAGAGAACAGGGGGAGAGATCTAATAAGAATCCTTATCTGAGTCTTTCAAGCCTTTCCCCATCCCCACCCAGGGGCCTGGGTGATAGAAAAATAGGGGTGTCTTGGCCTTGCCAGGCCACTGGTGCCTGTGCCACAGAGCAGATATAGTCCTAGAGCAACCTAGATTTGAAGAGAAGAGGCAAAAGTAAAACTGGTGAAAATAACCTGTCCAATAAATGAGATCACTCCAAAAGTGTGTTGGAAAAATAACTGAGTTGATACAGGAAAGAACTCTGGAAGAAGCAGGGACTGTGACTGAGATGAAAGGTGCCATATGTAGTAGGAGACAGGAAGGTAAGCTTAGAATTGAGTCTGGCTGTGTGACTTTGGCCTGTGTGCTTATGTTTCCAGCTCTGCAAAATGGTGAGATAAAAATGTCTGTTTGATGGGCTATTATGGAAATCAAAGGATATCTATATCTATGTCTATATCTTTATCATCTATATCTATCTATCTATCTATCTATCTATCTATTCTACCTGCATAAGGTATTTCACTAAACTAGTAACAACAAAACATTACTGGGCATCAGAAACATGTGGAGGGCTGGCTAAAACCCAGCTTTCCTCACCCAGAGTCTCTACTTCAGTAAGTCTGGGGTGATGCGTTTGCATTTATCACAAAGTCCTAGGTGGTGCTGATGCTGCCAGTCCAAGTTCTACACTAAGAACCTATACTCTAGGCTGTAAGCTGTCTGAGAGCAAACAAGGGTTATCTATGTCCCTTTTGCTAATGACTACCTGGCAGGTAAGCAATGAATATTTGTCAATAAAAAAATGAATGAACAAATGGACTTCACATAAAGAACCTTAGTTTTCCTTTGCCAGGTGTCTCTTAGGTCTCCACTCTGACACTGCAGGACCAGATCTTGGGGCGAGGGAAAAGTGTCCTCAGAGCCAGGCCCTAGATCTGTGGTGCCCAACTGTGGAGCTGGAGCTGAGCGTCCAGGCAAGGGTCACCCCCTGGTGTCCTCTTCAGAGGACCCCTTTTATCCTCTATAGGCCCTGGTGGCCTCAGGGCACTGTCTCCCTTTGGGGAAAGTCTTCCCTCAAAAGCATTCATTCCATAGCACCCTTCTTGTTGCAGGTTTCTCACACAGAAAGTTGTGACACTGAGGCTTTCTTTCCAGGAAGCAACTTTATTTGTCCCAGCACTGGCTCAGTTGGGTTTGTACCCGAAAACTGAGACCAAATGCCACATGGCATAGTCTTGTATGTATTTTCTACTTCTTTGTCTCCCATATATGAGTAATGTATAGACATACAGTCTGATTAGGTGGTCTCATGTTACATGGTCATGAAGGATGTCACTTAGGCACATAGCCAGGCTGCCTTCCTGTATCTTGAGGACTTTTCTCACCACATTCCTTAGGGATGGGACTCTACCAAAATCTCAGGGAGGGAGTGGGAGGAAAAGTCACCCTCTCTCTCCTGCACCTCCAAGCCTCACCCTTATGCTGTCAAGACCACCATGCCAAATGGTATTCAAGAGATGTAGAGGAATGCAGAGGCAGCCTCAGATGCTACCTTTTCTACGATGTTAAAAAAAAAAAGTAAAGAAAAGAAAAGTACAAACAGTTTAACCTGAACAAAAGAAGAGTGTATCCTGTGTGGAATATCAGAGATCCTCCAGTTCTCCTCAAGCTCCCCCCCTCCTACCAACTCCACAGACTGCTGGGTGACCTGTCTAGCCTGGACCTGAGAGCTTTAACCCAGATTGAGGAGCAAGAGTTATTTTTCTTGTTCTCTCATTCCTCCTGCCTTTTATCCATATTCTCCTACCAGACTCCAGGACACTGAGGGGAGACAGAAAACCCACAAGGAAGCCCACTGGTTAAGGAAAGCTCAGACCATGGGTACAATAAACTCAAGAAAAAGAGTAATAAAGAAGCTTATCCCAGTCTTTTTTCAATAAACCCAGCATTGATTTTGAAAGAAGACGAAGATAAAGACGAAGATGAAGACGAAGAAGAAGAAGAAGAAGAAGAAGCAGCTTATCCCAGAGAGTCAGGAAGGTGTAAAAAAAAACAGTCATTATGCAGGACTCAGGCTATGAGAGTATCGTCTTTATTGTCACATGGCCTCCTTCTGTCCTCAATCCTGGGTCTGCCTATCAGGATAAATCATGGCTCAGGCTGCCAACCCACACATTTGGCTGAGCAGCTTCCTGCCAAAGGAGGAGCACGGGACTTTAGGGATATTCTCACTCCATTTTAATGGGAGTTTACAACCTACTTGGGCAGGGAAAGGTAAATAATTCAAGAGATATTGCAGACAGTTGCCAAATGGTTGGTGTGGACAATGCAATGAGTTCTAGGAAGTCAGTGCAGGTTACTGTGAGTAGGAAAAAACAGAAAAGACTCCAAAGAAAAGGTCTTGAAAGATGGTCTGGATTTCAGAGGCTGGGCATAGCAGAGAAGTGGTCCCTGTAAGGCGGGGGGGGGGGGGGGGGGGGGGGGGGGGTTGGTGGTGTGGAGGTGAGCAGAGACTTGGAGGCAGGAACATCCTGTGGCCCTGGTGGCCAGGCTGGTCTAGCTAGAACTGAGGGTTCTTATAGGGGAAGATCCAGATGTGAGGCTGGAAAGGTGCCTGGCACCCAGGTGTGGATCCTGAGATGGCAGGCAGTGGAGTTCCAACATCACCTGTGCAGCAGGGAGCCTCCAACTGCCTTTGGAGAGAGGCACATAGGGACATGTTGGAAATCGAGGTCTGACATTTTCAGGGCAGAAAGCAGGGATGTCTCAGCCATGCTTCTTTAAAAATAAGCACCCTTTGTTCCAGCAGAAGGACCTCCTTTTACTCCAACATAGGGGCCTCCTTGGTCTCCACAATCACTGACACTCTGTGGCTCTGGAATCGTATCACAGGGTCCACAGCTGTCACCACTTCCTTGCCACTGGTTATAAGCAGCTGGGTCGCAGCTTGGAGCCTCGGTGTCCAGGCGGCATGGGCTGGACTCATGACAGCCCAGGTCCCCCGGACATGGGATTGGATTGGGGCCTGAGCACGGGCTGGGATCGCACGGGGGCTCCACACAGGGCTCCGGGCTCGGGCACGGCGCTGGAAGGGGAATTGGCTCCGGGAGTGAATGAGGTTCTGGATGCTCATAGGGCTGTAGACACGGACGCCATTCGGGAAATTCACGCTGCGCTGGGAAACGACGTGGGGCTGGACGTGGCTCTGGACACAGACAGGGTTCAGAGAGTCGCCGCGGTGGAGGACACAGACGAGGCCCTGACCTCGAGCTTGGCTCTGGGCGAGGATACAGCCCAGGACGTGGGCATGGACAGGGGGCAGGGGGTGGGCATCGATGCAGCGGCGGCTCTGGACTTTGGTCCCGACGCCGCGATGGACAGAAGCTTGGGAGTGGACGTGACTCTGCACGTGGCCTCAGCTCCGGGCAGAAGGCACCCCAGGAGGGTCGTGGGGCACAACTCTCAGAGCAGCGTCTGATGGGAGGAATCTGAACAGGACACTTTTGCGGGGGGACCTGCTTGGGGCAGCAGGGGGAAGAAATCTCTATCCGGCACTTGGGACCACATCTCTGAGAGCAGCCTGAAGTGCGAGCCGGAGGACAGCCACTGCTATAGATGGGCTCCGAGCGGCGCGGAGGGGTGCAGTAGTTATAGGAGCCCGAAGAGCACGCTGATGACAGGCAGCCGCTGTAGTAGGGCTCAGACCGTCGTGGTGGGGAGCAGCTGCGGTAGGAAGGCTGCAGCTGGCGAGCAGGGAGGCATCTGGTGGAGCTCCGCGAGCGACGCTGTGCGGTGAAGCTCCGGTAAGAACCAGTGGCCTGGCACTGGGGTGCGCAAGTGCTAAATGCAGCCCGGGACTGGCGCTGGGGGGCGCAGTCGCCGTAGTAAGCCCCAGATCGGAACTGCGGGGCACAGGTGCTGTAGGAAGCCTGGGACTGACGCTGCGGGGAGCATCTGTTGGAGGAGCCCTGATACTGGCACTGAGTGGAGAATCTTCCCTGAGTCTGGGAAACTGGGGGAGAAGCCACGTAAGTCTGGACAGGCTGAGGAGCTGGACAGGGTATGTAGGTCTGGACTGGGCATTCCACATAACAAGTTTCTGTATAATAAACTGGAGCACATTCCATATAGCAGGTCTGAAAAGGGCATGGGGCTTCACAATGCACATAGGAAACCTGAGGCTGGCATGGAGCCTGGCATTGAACACAGGAAATTTGAGACTGGCTTGAAGCCTGGCTCTTCACTTGGGTGGTCTGGGACTGGCTTGAAGCCTGGCCCTTCACTTGGGTGGTCTTAGACTGGCATGGAGCCTGACACTTCACCTGTGTGGTCTGGGACTGGCATGGAGCCTGGCATTTTACCTGGGAAACTTGAAATGGGCATGGTGCGGGGCACTCCACAATTTGCATCTCACAAGGTGCTTGGACCACAACCTGGCTCCTGGCACTGGGATTCTGGGAGGAATAGAAGGAGGAGCCCTTCACACAGCACTGGGGGAGTGACATGCAACACTGAATCTGCTGCTGGTCACACATGGTTCTGATGCAGGCAGGTGATGGGACCTGAGGGTAGAAAGACCAGTGTTAGGAGCATGAGCTGTTGAGAAAAAGGAGACAAAACCAAGGGGAGGACACCCTGCTTCTTCCCTGTCCTTTCCTCTCCAACTCTCAACCTTTACCCAAGAACACTTCTGAGTTAGATGGACTCAATATTAGTTACCGCTGCCCATGAGACCTGCCTTGGATCTACCAAAGGACCTGAGGTCCTGATCTGAAGGAGCTTCAAAGGCACATCAGGGGTTGCAGATGTCCAGGGTCTCCCCTGGAGGATGGACATACCAGTGTTCAACACAAGAGGGCGTTGAAGACAGCATGATTTCTTGGCCTAAGTGGCAGGAGAGCCACTTATAGGAGGTAGAAGTAACACTGCTTCCAAAGTAGAGGCCATGCACCCACAGAAGCTTGACTATCCTCACATACATGCACTGGGAACACATACATGTGAAAACATGTAAAAAATGAGTGTATTGGAGCAAGCACTCAGGTACCATCTGCACTCAAAGCATCCACTAGAAAGTCAAGGATCCAGCTCAAACCCAACATAAAATGCTTGTTTCTCTACACTCAATCTTTTTAGGTGAATGTGTTTAAATGACCCTCATGGACATATGTGCGCACACACACACACACACACACAACATACAAGCCTTGGAAAGGCTCAGAACCAACATGGCAACTTGCCCAGGCTGGTTGCTGTTGTAAATCACCCGAAGTGGGACAGTCTGCTGGCCTCAGAAATGGGTTCTCCCCATTCCCTCTTAAAAGCAGGGAGCAACTGCCTAAGATGGGGTAACCCAGAAAGGGCAAGATTCCTAAATCACAAGACTGACATTCAGCCACACATAAACCCCTCCACAGCAGAAGCATAACAACCATGACTTGGAGGATGCAGGCATACTCTCTAACACCACACGTAGCCAGGGAGAAACAGAAGATAGTCTCCATTCCTCTGTCCTCCCAAATTCACCCGTTCGTGTACAGGCAACCCAGTGACCAGCACAACAGGGTGGCTGATTTAACAATTAACCCATTCAACAAAACACTTTTCAATAAGCTTCAGAAATACTGAAAATGCTTCTAATGAAAGGTAAAGCCTTCCCCTCTCCACTTATAGACAATATCTAAATACACATTCCCTTCACATCAGGCTCTGTGCTGATGGCTCGGAGCCTGGAGCCTGCTTTGGATTCTGTGTCTCCCTCTTTCTGCCCCTCCCCTACTTGTGCTCTGTCTCTCTCTCTCAAAAACAAATAAACATTAAAAAATTGTAAACACACATGCCTGTGGGGAAGGTAACCCTCCTACACACAACTCTGCTCACAAGGTGTAAATTACTAAAGCATCTTTTCCAGGGAGAGAGCTCCTGATGCAGGAAAATGGTACCTGAGGAGGAGGCCAGTGTTATCAAAGGCTTTAGACCCTCAGTTCTTCTCACAAACTCCACAGATATTCTTCTTATGTCCCCTAAAAGACTCTTCAGGTTTATGTACCACTGTTTTTCTGCTCACAACTTCCCCCCACCCCGCCTCACTATGCCTCACCCCTGTGAATCTGGGCATCCCCTTAGAAGCATCCCTATCCCAATCCCAGGACCCAACCTCTGGACTCACCCTCCTCACAGCAATCAGACATTCAGGCTGAGCATCTGGACAGAGGGCTGTCTTTATATAAAGGGTTCTGGGTCTGGCTTTACACCATGAGACAGCTGATTGGCATCTGCCTGGCTCATCACCCAGGTTGACATTCCAGCAGCCAGTTCCCTCCCTGTATGCTTGTCCTTGATAGTCACCTACAGAATGTGGGAGTGTCTCACTGCAGTGTCAAAGCTTCTGGACTATGAAGGAGCAGATTCTTGTTTTCTTCCTCTGTCTTCATCCTATCAATTTTTTCTCCATCTCTAGAAGACCTTGTGTCAGGGATGATGAAAGGTGACAAAGGTATCTTCTGTCCTGAGAGAGGAGTCCAGGCCCCTGACTTCCTCCTTATCTCAGATTCTCATCAGATACATATAAAAGCAGAAAAATTCCCTATCTTGAAACAATTAAAGTCACTTCAAAGACAGAGGCAACTCTACAGGATGAAAACAATGTGGTCAGAGCTGAGGCTAACATCCCAGGTTGGCTACTTACAACTGGGTGACCTTTATAACAAACTTGAGTATTAAGTTGCTCAACTAAAAAATGGAGATAATTAAATCTTCTTTCCAGAGGTTTTGTGAGATTAAGGCAATTATTTTATACAAAAATATCCAGCCAAAAATGATACTCAAAATACCCAGCACCCATTCAGAGTAAATGCTGATCATAAGCAACAAGGCACAGCTAGATGGATGGCTGCCTGCTACATCCTTGTCCTGAGCTGAGCAGCCTGATGGCTTTACAACAGGTGCTCAGCTAATGCTATGGAGCAGTCCTTGAAGACAGCATAGTGCAGGACAGAAATACTAAGCTAGCACCTGTGAGCCAGATATAGTCAAGATGGGATATCTTTTTATCTTTTGCCTACATAATTTTTTGCTTATATATTTTAGTAACTAATCATTAATATTTAGAAATAAAGAAATTATACTTAAGATTCTAGACATCCAGTTTTTCTTCTAAAATCAAAAGACCTGGCATAGATGAGCCTAATTTCCATCAACCCAATGATTAATAGCTGCCCCTCTTAGATAGGGCATATACTTTTATGTTATACACCTACTTACATGTTCTACAATTCTCCATCATTCTATACTATATCCGTGATGCAATGCAAAGTATAAGTTTCTTTTTATTATTTTACTTGTGCTTTTGTTCTTCTTTGGTGAGATTAAAGGAAAGTGAAATAATGCTTCTGCCTGGATCATTTCACTTGTTCACATAACCCTCCAGCCTCTATGGGCACTTAAGATTCTGACCAAGCCATGAGCACAAACTTCAGATTTACACAGACTTGAGGTTGAATCTGAGCTCTAGTACTTGCTAATGGGTGAAAGCTACTTAACATCCATGAGCCTCAGAAGAATAAAAATGAGGAGGAAGGTGGAGAAGAGAAGAAAGAAGAAATAAGAGAAATAAGATGAAAAGAATTAGAAAAGCCATATGATTATCATGTGAATTAAATGAGAGGGCTGATCAAAAGTACTTAGTACTCAGTTACCCATTTAGCTCTCTGGGCTTTAGTTTCCTCATATGAAAATGGGAGTGAAAGTATTTCACCAGGTTCTCATGAAGATAAAAATCAGATAATGGGTACAAAAATGCTTTGTGACCTACAGTGCACATACCAGTCATGTCTGTGAAATCCCTCCCATGGAGAAGTCTCTGCCCAGGTCCACCTGACTTCAGAGTCTGAGTTTTGGGTTCCATCACTCATTCCAAAGGGGGTCTCCAGATTCCACTCCAAACTTGAGTAGGATCATAGACTTTCAGAAGGTCAAGACAACAAGGGTGCCCAGGAATTTTCCAGTCCCACCCTATCATTCTATGGATGAGGACTCTGAAGCTCAGAGAGATGAATCTGTCTGGGAACTAAAGGTAATGGTTGCCTTGGAGAGTCAAGACTCCAAGTATCTCTAGTTGCAGATCAGACTCTTTCCACTATAACAGAGAAAGTAGTTCTCTGATCACACATTTGGCCAAGGCACTCTGAAGGTGTATAGTTCTGGGCTTGATATTGGCCTAGAAGGTAACCAGGAAATCAGGGAAGAAGGAAAACTGAAAACAGACAAGCTGTCCCCCACCAAAATGTGAATTTTTGAATCCTAATATCTCCCTCACTCATCTCTTGATAAGATGTGCACTTCCTAAAGGAAGAACCTCTATTTTTTTTCATCTTTGTATCTCTAGATTCCTGAATTACTATCAGTCTGTTGATGGATGGAGAGTCGAGTGAGAGACTGGCATGAAATTGGGCTTGGTTCACACATCTTAACCCACTGGGGTGGGATGCCTGGATGGCTCAGTCAGTTGAGCATCCAACTCTTGATTTAGGGTCAGGTCATGACCTCATAGTCTGTGAGATTAAGCCAGGCACCAGGCTCTGTGCTAACAGCAAGGACCTTGTTTGGGATTCTCTGTCTCCTTCTGTCTCTGCCCTCCCCTGCTCTATCGCTCTCCCTCTCTCTCTCACTGTCTCTCTCAAAAATAAATAAACATTAAAAAACCCACCGGAAAACAAGTTGACATTGTCCGATCCAGAAACCAAAGAGCTCTGTGCCCCTTGTTACTTCCAGCTTCCTGCTTTTTTACAGAGGTGGGGTCATGGAAGAGGGCCCTCAGGGCAAGCCTTGCAAATGACCAAGAGATGAGGTGTTAGTTTTCTGCAATATGTGTAGATAGATAGGATATTTAGAAATATACATGGGTGCCTGGGTGGCTTAGTCAGTTAAGCATCCGACTCTTGATTTTGGCTCAGGTCATGATCTCACAGTCGTGGGATGGAGCTGACAGTATGAAGTCTGCTTGGGAGGGATTCTCTCTCCCTGTCTCTGTCCCTACCAACCCCCCACTCGTATGCTGTCTCTCTCTCTCTCTCTCAAAATAAATAAATAAACTTTTTTTAAAGAAATATACATGGCTAGACATATAACTGTATAAACCTAGGAATAGGTGATAGCAACGCAATGATTTATCAAATTAATATAAAGGTATCAAAAGAGAGTGAGTTTGTAGACATCTGCAAAAATGACAAAAATAGAGGTAGATAAATGAAATATAGAGCAAAAGATAGAGATGAAGTTAGAGATTAAAACAATACGGAAGTATAAGGGTACAAGCTGGGAGTGGAATAGGTCATGTGAAAGAGACACAGGCATTGGGACAGCAGCATATATGGATGCATTAATTTAAAAAGATGTAGGCAACTCAAAAAGCATGGATAAACCCAGAGATAATTCACTGAACATTTGCCATATAACTGTCACTTTGCTAAGAATTTGACATATATTAACTTTTTTCATCTTTAAAATAGCTCTGTGGGGTACAGATTATTATCATTTCATAGCTGAGAAAATCAAA